TGAAAAAGTTCTACTTTTTTTGGAGCCTCTTTGTAGATTCTCAAAGTGGTGTAGGGCAGCACAGGGTGAGGCAGAATGTACCGGTTAAAGTTTCTCTGCCTCTTTTTTTGTTAAAAGCAGAATCCCATTTGTTAAGTTCTACTCCTATTACCTCATTTAACCTTAATTACCTCCCAAATCCCATACAAGGATTAAATTTCTAGTCTTTTACTAACTCACAATGGGGATTAAATTTCAGCATGAATTTTAGTGGGGCATATGAACCATAACCACAACTCTACAAATCATTTCCCTGTACACTATAAAAACATAACTTAAATCTGCATTAAATATTGCTACTGGGGCTCAGGCTAATGCTTGGGGTAATGTTTCCAAATCTGAAACTTTGAAACAGGATTTTAATGCAATAAAATAACAAGAAGAAGTTCACCAATCCACTATCACATGTTCTATAGATTTAAGAAAATGTCTGGTATGAACTAATAACAAAGATTCTGGGCAGAGGTATGTAGAGTGAAATGTGTTCCTCCAAGGTGAATCCACTGTTCCGGAAAGCCATGACATATATACAGTTTAGATTTATTCACATGGAAGAAATTTTATTAAATAATGAACCTTTTGAATGATGTAGGCCTTTAGGGCACTTGTGTAAGAGGCAATTCCTGATGTTGATGGGAAGCTCATAATTGTAAGCTGCAGATAATTGGCTGGAGAAGAAAGAAAATCATGGGATCTTAGAAGTCACATCAAGCCTATGGAATTCAGCCTTTGAGTAAGGGAAGGATGATGGTAATTTTTAAAATAGCATGGCATGTCCAGATTTCTGTTTCAGAGAGAATATTATGACAACAGTGTAGGGGAGGAAAGATTTCGGGGTGGAATTTGAACAAGATAAAGAGTGTCTACATAATTTCAAAGGAGCTCTACAGATTCTTCTTAGTTTATAAATAAAAATACTTATGAGTTAATTTAAGACTGGAAAAAACCTTATCAGACTCTTTGTAAACCAATCAAAAGAAAAAGATCTCTAAAAATGAGACACACTGACATCAGTTGCTTGTACATATAAATATTAGAATATAACAGAATTTGTGTGGCATTCCTGCCTTTATTAGTTGGGGTTCTCTAGAGTATCAGATCCAATGGAGGTATAATTATACAAAGGGGATTTTTTAGGTTGTCTTACAGGACCAGAAGTAGGATACTCCATAATATCCATCTGCATGCTGGAAAGTTGCATGAGTCAGGAGCTGCAAAGACCAAGATGCTGAAGCCTCAGAACAAAAGGGATCAGTGATGTTACCCCAATCTGACTCCAAGGGCTTTGGAAACTTCCTGGAGAATACTTTTCAGAGTCTTCTTTGGAAGAGTGAAGATCTGATATAATCAAGTGATTGCAGCAGCTATCAAAAACACATTCAAGAAGAATTGAATCTTGCATCTGCACCTGCGGCTTTTTTATTATTCCAAGTTTTATTCCATCCAAGCCTCCATCCTATTGGATAGTAATACCCAAGTTTAGGAACACATGCCAATCATTTCTAGACACACCCTCACTGATACACCCAGAAGCCTCTAAATATTTGGCATCTCTTAATCAAATCAATTTGACAATTCAAATTAACTGTTATACAGCCTGAAATAAATAATGATTTAAAAATGTCCCAAAGTCCCATATTGAGAGACCATGTGCTAAATGAGTGCC